TGGCCCTGAGCTGTGGAGCCACGCCCCACGGTCTACTCCGGGCGGTACCCGGCGAGTGGGCTGTGCTGGGTAGTAGGCCAATTTTATGCAGAGACGGATGCTGAGCAGACTTAGAATCAGCTATGGCGAAGGAAAGATTACATATTGAAGGAGTGGGATTAAAGATTTAAATCCAAATATGCAGAGTGTGGTGGCTCACGCCTGTAATCCCAGTACTCAGGAGGCTGAGGCAGGCGAATTTGGGCAAATTAGCAAGACCCTGTTTCAGAGGAAAAAAAAAAAGAATTATAAAAAGGGATTGGCTTATATGGTTCAATTCTCAGTACAACAAACGAACAAAAAACTCAGCATAGAGAACTCATAACATAGGCTTATCAGTATTGTGGCACATTTGCTTCAAATTTTTACTTACCTGTCTTTTTCACCCCCACATACTTCGGTGACACTAAAAGTACTTTTCCTGTACTACCACAGTATTATGTATACTGCTAAGAGGCTTAACAATAATACCTTAGTAGCATCAAGTGCAGATTTCAGGAAGTGAGGGGGACTTTAGACTTTGGGTTTATACTGCCTGATTAGTCTCCAGTCTGCACGTTTACAGTCACACTGCTGCAACATGAGAATGACTTTCCTTATTCTGCCACACCAACTAATTCATTTTCAATAATTGATAAAAGCAAATAGTGACAAATTATGTTTAGTATATCTGCTGTACAAAATTCCATTCCTTGTGGAGAATTGGTACATATACGTAACATTTTAATTCTTTTTTTCATCCCCTTCCCCTCTCCCCACCTAACTCCCCCTCTCTCCATTTCTTGATCTCCTTCCCATTTCAGAAAGATCTCCTTGCTTCCTATTAGCTATCTTTTATTTTGCTATTTTGGTTTTGTCATATAAGTAACCACACCATATTTAAACTTAGGTGTCTGATTTATTTCACTCAGTTATGGTCTCAAGGTGCAGCCATTTTCCTGCAAATGACTCATTTATCCTAATTTATGGCAGACTAGTACTCTACTGTGTGTAAATACCTTTTTTTTCTCTCTCTCTGAGACAGGGTCTCCATATTAGTTCAGGCTGGCCTTGAACTCTATGTAGTCCAGGCTGGCCTCGAATTCAGAGCAATCCTCCTGAATGCTGGGACTACAGGCATACACCACCACACCTGGCTTTACCATATTTCATCCATTCATCTGGAGAAACTACTTCTACATTTCTAAGGAATTGAATATCCTTTCACAGGCTTAAATAAGCTATTCGCCAATCATCTGTTTTTATTCTCTCTTCATTTTCTATAGGGGTAGTACAGGTAGTACAATGGGGGCTGGGAGACCACTCCCCTCCACCCATTTGATTTTGGACAGTACCCCAGTCCTCCTTCCAGTGTTCTGAAAGAAGTAGAGAATAAAATTACACTGACCCAAGAAATCCCTGAAGCTCTAGGCTACAGTAACTGACAGATCTCCTGGCCTATCAGTATCCCCACCTGGACCTTATTAAGTCCATAAATATGTACTACATTTCATACCTACAGTTAAATCGGAGAGAATTATGGGACAGGCATGCTCACTGAAAGCACCTGAGATGACTCAGCACCCTGTCAATCAGTCCTGTCATTCTTAGTGACACCCAAGGATTGACACTCTGACTAGGGTGAACATTTTTCCATCTGAAAGCCACATTTATCAGTGTGCTGTGCTGTACTTTTATTTTCCTGTCACCCCTAACAGCACTTTTCTGCCCATGCTACCCTTATGTTTCTGCTTGTACACAAGGCCTGGAATCTGTTGGATCCATCCCATGGTAACAGGAGTACTTGCTTTTTCTTATTTTTCTGTAAGAACTTTTATGCTTTGGATGCACAGTAGTTTTTAATGTTTTGTTTGCTTTTGCAGTACTTAAACCCACTGTGTTAAGTCAAGGAGTATTTTCAACTTACAAAACTTTTAATTTCTGATGGGTTTACTAAGACATAACTTCATTTTAAGTCAAGGAGCATCTGCAGTTAAAGTGAGAACTCTGAAACTTGGATTAAAAGATCAAACTGTTAGGGCTGGGATATAGCTCAGCTGTAGAGTACCTGCTAATGTGCATGAGGCTCTAGGGTAGAGCCTCCATCACCCTAAAAAGGAAACAACAAAAAAAATAAAAATATCTAGTGTATTCTTTGGTTGAATATTATCAGTTATTTCAAGATTACAGAGTAGCACAGTACCTGCCTGGCAAGTGCAAGGTCCTGAGTTTGATTCCCAGTACCAGAAAGACTGCAGAGTAGTATTCTTTTGCATGAATATACCACAAGTGGTAACCTCATCGTAAGTCAAGGAGCACCTGTAGTTAAAATACAAACTCTGAAATTTGGGTTAAAAGGTAGATATCAGGGCTGGGGGTGTAGCTCAGGAGTAGAGCATCTGCTTAGTGCACACAAGGCCCTAGGTTAGATCCCCAGCACCACACACACACACACACACAAAAAAAAAAAAAAAAAAAAAAAGAAAAAAAAAAAAAAAGAAAAAAAAAAAAAAAGAAAAAAAAAAAAAAAGAAAAAAAAAAAAAAAAAAAAAAAAAAAGAAAAAGAAAAAGAAAAAAAAGGATAAAAATATCTACAGTGTATTCTTTTGTTGAATATATTGATAGTTCTTTCAAGATTGTCAAGTGGTATTCTTTTGTATGAATGTGAATTTGCTTAGACTTTCTCTTACTGATGGATATTAGGTTAGATCACTTCCATTTTGGGACTGTTTTATATATAAAGCTGTTATGAGCTCTGTGTGTGCACTCGCACCCACATGTGCCTGCGTGCACATGCGGTGTGGGGCATTAAATTCAGGGCCTCACATGTGGTAAGCATTACTATGAACATTTTTGTACACATTTCTATGGAATGTATTTTCATTTCTGTTGGGTATTAGGGTAAAATTTGTGGATAAATTATTCAGAAATCTCCCCAAAGATGGTACTATTTTACATTACTCCCAGCAATAATGTTATCGGCCTATTCCACATTCTTGCCAACTTTTGTTGCTGTCAGTCTTTTATTTTTAGCTATTCTTTTTTTAAAACCACTTAGCAATCCAATTGTTTAAGTACAGGATAACTAAAACGTGCATATTTTTTTTTCATTTTTATAACAGGAAATACACAAATGCCAATTTTATCAAATTTATTCAATAATTGTTCTGCGTATGGTATTTCTTAAAACACTGAATAAAAACCAACATACAATCTAAACAGTAGTATCTAGTCTCTTTCTGAATTCTTTTTGCTTTATTGTCTTTTAACACACTTTACACTATCACGTGAGCCTTTCCTTTTTTCCTGTGGGTGGTATAATTTCAATAAAATGTCTACCCACCAAACACAGTGGTGAAGATGGAGCAATGGACATTATAGCTGGCATTTCACTATCCCATATTTTTCAATGATTTGGTCTGTTAGACCTAATCTAAATTGTAAATGGCTTTTTGAACCCCCTTGTCTTGAATAAATAACAAATGAGTTTCATATTGTTTGGTTCAGAATGTACATAAATACACACACTTGTAATCTGCCCCTCTCATCCTCGGCAATGCTGGTCTGCTTTCTGTAATCAGATTAGTTTGTGGTTTCTGGAATTGTATAGAAATGGAATTATACAGCCTGTAGTTTTAAAGAAGATAATACATATTCAGAGATAATTTCAATACAATAAAGTTCCTTTTTTTTTGAGACAGGGTCTCACTATGTAGCCGACGCTCCTGCCTTAGCCTCCTAAGTGCTGGGAGATTACAGGCAGCTCCACTGCACTGGGTGACTTGTTTTACATGTATGTATTCATCAGGGCTCTCCTGAGAAATACAACCAATTCTTTGTGCCTGTGGTATGATATTCAAAAGGGATATAACTGGGTTAGATGGGATTTCAATTTTTATCTTAAGGAATCTCCATACTTATTTCCATAATGGTTCCATCAGTTTACACTCACACCAACAATGAAGGGCTCCACCTACAACCTTGCCAGCATTTGTTATCAGTTGATTTCATGACAGCAGCCATTCTTTCTGGGGTGAGACGGAATTTTTTTTGAGACAAGGTCTCGCTAGGTAGTTCAGGCTGGTCTTGAATTCACTATGTAGCCCAGGTTGACCCTGAACTCACAGTAATCCTCCTGCTTCAGCCTGAGTGCTGGAATTACAGGCATGTGCCCCCATACCTGGCCATTAATATTGTTTTGTATTTTTAAGTGGCCAGTGATGTTGAACATTTTTTCGTGTATTTATTGGCCAACTGTATTTCCTCATCTGAGAAGTATTTTTGTTGTTGTTGTTTTTTTTTTCAGACAGGGTCTCACTATGTAGTTGAGACTGACCTGGAACTCACTATGTGGCCCAGGCTGTTCTCGAACTCACAGTGATTCTCCTGCCTCAGCCTCCTGAGTGCTGGGATTACAGGCATGAGCCACCACGCTTGGCTTGAGAAGTGTTTTTGCTTGTGTCTTTAAATCTGGGAAATCTAATTTTTTTGAGTTCTTTATACATTCTAGGTATTAATGCTCTGAGGAGCGTCTGACAAAAATATTTTCCTATTCTGTAAGCTGTCTCTTCATGCTACTGGTGGTTTCCTTTGCTGTGCATCTTGCTATATTCTTTTAATTTTAATATTAAGAACCACTAAGTTTTATGATAAATGTGAAATATCTGGCTTGAAAATGAATCTGCTTTCCACCCTGCTTATAATTTGAAGACATCAGAGTATTTAAAATTACAAAAATAAGTTAGGACAAGAAATTTAATTTTCTTATTACACAATAGAAAGAATCCTGGAATTTTTAAGAACAGAAAATTTTAATTTTATATAATTTTACTTTAAAACACATTTAGGGAAATAGCAATGTAACACATTATGTTTTTTAAGTATCACCATAATATTCTGAAAAGTACAAAATCCAAATACCTAAGTTTTACATTCTCTCCCAAATAATACAAAAAATTCCAGTAATTACAAATATGCATATTTTATTTAAAAAAACACCTCCATTTGTCATGGGAATTAGTGAGAATATAACCAGTGGATGAATTATGACTGAATTTCATATCCTAATGGGTCAAGTCCCTGATCCAGAAGCATGAGAGAGGATTCCCTTAACTTCTGCAGCAATTTCTTTAGTTCTTGTTTAGAAAATACCTGATATTTAAAAAGAAAAAAAAATTAATTAGAAAAAGAAAGCTATGAACTTACTGATACCTAATCAATCTAATTAGCTTAATATAAGAAGAAATCCCTTGTAAGGTTCATATGGTCAAAGGCTCATGTATTAGAGTGGGTCAGGAACTCAAGGTTATTTCTCAGAGTTAGTTTGTATGTTGGTACTACCGCTTGTATGTACATATATATTTTGTGGGGGAGAAAGCACCTACACTACAACTGTACTATTAGTTTCAGAAAATCCAAGGCCAGCTTAAAATATGAACATGCCAGAACATTAGCTCACTGGATCCCATCACTGAACTTACAAGCGCAGATGCTGTGGACTCACCAGGTAGAGCTTGTGGCGCTCGGAGGACACCATGTCAGCCAACTGCAGGCACTCCTGGTACTGACTCGTGGTATGCAGTATGGTGTGAAGCAGAAAACACAGTCTTGGCAGACAAAGCTTTCTCAATAAAACCATTTGATGTGTCCTTTCATGGTCTCCTTCAGGATCCTACCAAGAGACATCAAGAATTTTGACAACTTTAAGATAAATACACTTCATGAATAGAAAGTCAGGTACAGCAGGCCCTGAATATCCATGGGCTCAGAATCTGCAGATCCAACCAAGCACAGACAGAAAATATTCAGGAAAAAAAAAAAAGTTGCATCTGTACTAAACATGCACAACCTTTTTGTACTTCCCAAACAAGATAGTATAACTATTCACACCATATTAGGTATTATAAGTAATTCAGAGATGATTTACAGGATATAGGAGAATGCTTGTAGGTTATACGAAAATACTGCGCCATTTACACAGTGGAATTAGTGGTGTGACTTTAGTATACACATGGGGACCTGAAACCAACCTCCATCCCATGATACTGAGGGACAAGTAGACTGAATCCAGCCCAGAGTCAAAAGCTACAGGGTTTTTCTAAAGCTTGTAATTCCAGTACTCTGGGAACCTGAAGCAGAAATATCCAGAGTTCAAATCTAGCCAGGCTACCAGGTAGTAAGACCAGCCTGGAGTAGTACATAGTGAGAATTTGTCTCAAAAACAAAAGAATGAAAAAACTGCTGCTTTGGGGGCCTTTTCATCTGTGCTCCAATGTAGTCTTTCTTCTGTGTTAAGGAGGCAAATTGTTTCTGGTTCCTCCACTTCTGCTATTTATTTGTTAATAATCTTCTAGGACAGATTCTGGTAGCTATTCCTTGGAAGTTCTGTGGTTGCTCTCATAACATCTGGGGGTGTTGCAGGCACTCTCTCTCCCACCCTTGATACAAGGTCTCAATATGTAGTTTAGGCTGAGCTTGAACTCACCATGTAGCCCAGGCTGGCCTCAAACTTGCAGCAGTTCTAATTTTAGTATATGTACTGTCCAAGCGAGGAAAAACTTGAAGCAGTTCTGCTGCCTGCCTCAACCTCCCAAGTGCTGAGATTACAGCCACCACATAGAACTGATCTCTTTTGCAAACTATAATGAATTCCTATGCCAGCAGAATGGCTGTTATCCAGAAGCACACCAGATAGGCCCTGAGATTTGCCACAAGAAAAGGAATCAACTGTTCTGTAACAACCTAAGATTTTTTTTCTTATCTGGGATAATCAATAGCTTTGAATTACTTTGTAAATACAGAGTCCGCCAAAACTAAGAAACACAAAAATAGTATGATGTTTTTTCAATAGATGCTGTTTCTCTTGTATGGGGGACCCTAGAGGATATCATATATCACAGAAAACTCACTACACTGCCGGCTCTTAGAGAAAAAAATGGAAAATGCATGTGCAGCAATCTCAGTGACTAAGAAGCAGTTTGCTGTACTAATAAATGTCTGGAAGATAACAGACACCCTTGAGCACCTGTTGTAACCGTAGAGGCCAAAAGTAACTTGATAATCTCATGATGTCTCAATAAATTTCGTATTAAAATATTTATACAAGTTTTTTCTTTTCCTGAAGTGTGTATACATTTTTTTTTGGCAGATTCTGTATATATAAAAAAAAAGATTCTTTCCACCCCAGGGACATATAGTGCTTTATATGTGAGACAAACTCATTAACTGATATGTACTGCCAGCAGGAGTTCACAGGTACTGATTTTACAGGAGTCTCTAATCTGAACACAATGTATTCACTCCAGTAATGTACTACCATTTATTTACCAAATAGCTACCAAAAACCTCTTGTGTGCTAGGCATTCATTTAAGCATTAAGTTCAAACTGAAGAAAACAGGTTCTTTCTTGAAGGTCATATTATGATGGAAATAGAAACAAAAAGGCAAATAAATGAACACATATCAGAATGGGCTAAGTGCTACAAAGGAAAAATAGCGTAAGAAGATAAGATAGGACAGGTGTGTATGTACATATGCAATTTTTGTTGTTATTGTTGTTGTTTGTTTTTTGAGACAGGGTCTCACTATGTAGTGAGACTGACCTGGAACTATGTAGCCCAGGCTGATCTCAAACTCACAGTGATCCTCCTGCCTCAGCCTCGTGAGTGCTAGGATTACAGGCGTGCGCCACCAAGCCTGGCTTGTACATATGCAATTTAAGAGGGGCTGAAGGAGTAGCTCAGTGTCTAGCACAGGTAAGGTTTAACATGTTCCCACTGGCTTGAACCACTGGTGGTCCATGTATGATTGGCCCATGCCACCGCCCAGCAGCGAGATATACGAATTATAGCCATGTTGTGAATGTGTTAGTCTTGAGTACGGGGGAAAAAAGGCAGGGTGTTGGAGGGTGGAAAGAACGTCTGCCTGAGGGAGATGGAACTGCTGAGAGAAGTCAAAAGCCATCCATACAGGTATCTTGATGAAAGAACATTCTGTGCAGAAGAACAGCAGAGGCCCACAAAGCTAAAACACAGTGATAGGATACAAGACTGGGGAGAGAGTTAAAAAACAAAAGAAGCATATGTATAGTCTTGTATATCAAGAGAACTATGGATATAATTCAAAGTGTAGTGAGAAACCATCAGAAAGTTCTGGGTATGAGAGTGACATGTATTTTGATTTAAAAGGATCATGAGTTGATAAGCAAGGAACTATATATAAAGAAGAATGGGAGTCAAGCATAGTGGCGCATACCTACAATCCCAGAACTCAGGAGGCTGAAGCAGGATGATTGCTGCAAGTTTGAGCCAGCCTAGGCCACACAGTGAGGTTAAGGAAAACCTGAACTACAGAGTGACACTCTGTCCCCAAAAGACAAATGGAAGGGGGGATGAGGGGAGGAAAGAAAAACAAAAAGAAAGAGAGAGAGGGAGGGAGAGAGGGAAGCAAAGCAAGAAAGTAGAGGCTTGAACTAGATGTGGTAGAGGTGGAGATGGTAGAGGTAGTGAAGGGCAGGTAACTGTGAGCCGCCCACTTCACTCCCACTGCCCATCTCACTGTGCCACTGGCCTCTAACACTAATTCCAGTGCCTTGGGGCACTCAGTTACCCTACCACACTGTAGTGACTAAAAACATGAGGTGAAGCTACAGGAACCAGTGTCTAATGCTTCAGCCTCCCACTGTGCTGAGATGGCGGTGTATGCTACCACGCTGCCTAATCTGTGCTTTCTTATGGTGTTTAATACTTTTGTAACTGGTTCTCAATCTAGGCCATCCAAGGGTGAGAGCCACTGCTCTCTGTGTATTTTATTTATGCTATTGGACTTGTCAATATCTAAATTAAGTGAAATACATGTACAATTTAAACTATTGGTCCAGAATTTTTAAAATTACATTTTAGTATCCCATATGAATATATTAAATATAAAGTTAATAGTTAAATATATCTGTTCCCCAGTTATTTTTACCTATAAATATGGGACATTTAGCTATAAATACAAAGGTTATATAAAACCTATAGATGTTCCTATTCAGAGACAGAAAATTGAAAACACACAGTGTTCATGGTTTGTTTTAGGTATGAACAATGAACAGTTTACCTCTCTGACATCTACCATCCATCCTCCATCAACAAACAACAAGACATTGTACATTTTCTCCTTGACATCAGCAGTTAGGGCATCCAAATGTCCTTTCCAAATATCATAATCCATCTACAAAACAAATATAAGGCAGACATAATGAACAAAATTCAACAGATAATGTATTTTTAGACCTCCCCCACATTTTTTTGGCTGTATTAAACCCAGGGCCTCAAGTATGATAGGCAAGTATCCTACCACAAAGCTACAACCCCAGCCTCATAATGTATTTTTAAAATACAGACAAGAATATACAAAAGGAATATATATAATTCTTAGGAGTTGGGCCAGGCATGGTGGTGAACACCTGTAATCCCAGCACATGGGAGGCTGAGGTACGAAGATCACTGTGAGTTTGAGGCCAGCCTGGGCTACATAGTGAGACGCTGTCTCAAAAAGCCACAAAAAACAAAACAAACAAAAATGGTTACATCAATTAGGAAAAAAAAAAAGTTGGTAAAATATAAAAATAATTACCAATAAATAAATAAAATAAAAATTACCATCAGACAGCTGTTAAAAAAATAATGAAATATGAACTAAGTAAATGCTAATGTTACATGAAGGTATTTTTGAATATTAATTACCTATAAAAAACTAAACAGGCTGGGGATTTAGCTCAGCGGTTCAGTGGCCTGCCTTGCAAGCGCAAGGACCTGAGTTCAATCCCCGGTACCAAAAAACCAAAACAAAACAAAGAAACTAAACAGACAGCTTCTTTTCTAAACCAGAACATTAACAAGATCTATTATAATCAGAGTATAACTGCTAAATAAATGACATCTTTAAATACTAACATACATTTATAAAGCACAATAAGCTCATTCCAGATCCCACATTGAACTTACTTCATATTTCTTTTCTTTATGTTCATAAGCTACTTGCTCAGTAAAACTTGGCTGGGATATTAAAGTAGGTTTTTGTGGAGCTGCATTCATATGGTTAAACCACTCAGTAAAAGTTTCATGGGCTTCCTAAAATGCAAATTTTAAAAAATATGAAAAAATGAGTTTCTAAAAGCCTTTAAAGATCTGATTTGCAGAAATAATTTTATATCATCAAGAAACAAAACAGTTCAATTATTTTTTTGCACCTACCCAAATCATTGCAAATATGTAAATGTTTTATCAAATGACACCGTGTTTATAGAGCTGCATTCATGGTTAAACCACTCAGTAAAAGTTTCATGGGCTTCCTAAAATGCAAATTTTAAAAAATATGAAAAAATGAGTTTCTAAAAGCCTTTAAAGATCTGATTTGCAGAAATAATTTTATATCATCAAGAAACAAAAAACTTCAATTATTTTTTTGCACCTACCCAAATCATTGCAAATATGTAAATGTTTTATCAAATGACACCGTGTTTATCCACAGTATGTATGTATGTATATATATATATATATATACATATATATATATATATATGGATGAATTTTAGTCATTTGTAGGAAAATGAGTGCATCTTGAGACCATAATCCTAAGTAAAACAAATCAAAAACAAAGGTTAAATATCATGTGATTTCTCTTATATGAGAAACTCAAACTATAAGTATTTTAAAGAACAAAGTAACATAGAAGTGACAGAAAACAGGGAGCTGGACCTGTGGGCATGAGAGAGGCATCCAGAGATGAGAGGAAAGCACTGGAGGGAAAGTAAAAAAAA